TGCAACATCCAGGTAAACATACACATCCATGATAGGGCTCGCATCAAGCCGTGCAACATCCAGGTAAACATACACATCCCTGACAGGGCTCGCATCAGGCCGTGCAACATCCAGGTAAACATACATATCACTGACAGGGCTCGCATCAAACCGTGCAACATCCAGGTAAACATACACTTCACTGACAGGGCTCGCATCAAGCCGTGCAACATCCAGGTAAACATACACATCACTGACAGGGCTCGCATCAACCCGTGCAACATCAAGGTAAACATACACATCAGTGACAGGGCTCGCATCAACCCGTGCAACATCCAGGTAAACATACACATCCCTGACAGGGCTCGCATCAAGCCGTGCAACATCCAGGTAAACATACACATCACTGACAGGGCTCGCATCAAGCCGTGCAACATCCAGGTAAACATACATATCACTGACAGGGCTCGCATCAAGCCGTGCAACATCCAGGTAAACATACAAATCACTGACAGGGCTCGCATCAAGCCATGCAACATCCACGTAAACATACACAACACTGACAGGGCTCGCATCAAGCCGTGCAACATCCAGGTAAACATACACAACACTGACAGGGCTCGCATCAAGCCGTGCAACATCCAGGTAAACATACAAAACACTGACAGGGCTCGCATCAAGCCGTGCAGCATCCAGGTAAACATACACATCACTGACATGGCTCGCATCAAGCCATGCAACATCCAGGTAAACATACACATCACTGACAGGGCTCGCATCAAGCCGTGCAACATCCAGGTAAACATACACAACACTGACAGGGCTCGCATCAACCCGTGCAACATCCAGGTAAACATACACATCCCTGACAGGGCTCGCATCAAGCCGTGCAACATCCAGGTAAACATACACAACACTGACAGGGCTCGCATCAAGCCGTGCAACATCCAGGTAAACATACACATCACTGACAGGGCTCGCATCAAGCCGTGCAACATCAAGGTAAACATACACAACACTGACAGGGCTCGCATCAACCCGTGCAACATCCAGGTAAACATACACATCCCTGACAGGGCTCGCATCAAGCCGTGCAACATCCAGGTAAACATACACAACACTGACAGGGCTCGCATCAAGCCGTGCAACATCCAGGTAAACATACACATCACTGACAGGGCTCGCATCAAGCCGTGCAACATCCAGGTAAACATACAAATCACTGACAGGGCTCGCATCAAGCCATGCAACATCCAGGTAAACATACACAACACTGACAGGGCTCGCATCAAGCCGTGCAACATCCAGGTAAACATACACATCACTGACAGGGCTCGCATCAAGCCGTGCAACATCCAGGTAAACATACACAACACTGACAGGGCTCGCATCAAGCCGTGCAACATCCAGGTAAACATACACAACACTGACAGGGCTCGCATCAAGCCGTGCAACATCCAGGTAAACATACACATCACTGACAGGGCTCGCATCAAGCCGTGCAAAATCCAGGTAAACATACACAACACTGACAGGGCTCGCATCAAGCCATGCAACATCCAGGTAAACATACACAACACTGACAGGGCTCGCATCAAGCCGTGCAACATCCAGGTAAACATACACATCACTGACAGGGCTCGCATCAAGCCGTGCAACATCCAGGTAAACATACACATCACTGACAGGGCTCGCATCAAGCCGTGCAACATCCAGGTAAACATACACATCACTGACAGGGCTCGCATCAAGCCGTGCAACATCCAGGTAAACATACACATCACTGACAGGGCTCGCATCAAGCCATGCAACATCCAGGTAAACATACACATAACTGACAGGACTCGCATCAAGCCGTGCAACATCCAGGTAAACATACACTGACTCGTGGGTGTGGGTTTTTCTTTCTCTTTGAAACAAGGATGCGAGGATGACACTTTGCCTGCCACACCACACCACACCTGCCTAAGAAAATGACCAGTCCCTCAATAATGTCAATGATGTGCGTGTTCCAATTAACAATTGTGTTATTTGATAAAAGTGAATCTGTGCCATTTTTAATGCCCCCTCGGCCTAATATAGTAGTGATAAGATTTGGCGACCTCCATTTTTTGTTGAGGGCATCATAAAACACACACTCCTTTAATCTCCGCCCCCCTATCAACTCAATAAATTAGCAGTCCCTTAGTCAAAGAAAAGTCATTTAATTTTTATTTTTGTTGCCATGCCATCAGACAACTACCCCCTTCCCCGTCGTAGATTAAGATTTCTTGTGGAATCCAGTTTTTTAATCACCGAAAGAAGACGTGTACATGTAAAACTCATCCTGGTGTGTGTCTCCTTCCAGATCGAGGTGAACCCCTTGTTCAGTAACGCAAGGCTTATCGACTTCTGCCGGGAACGGGGACTAACGGTCACAGCCTACGCTCCCTTCGGGAGCCCCAATAGGCCATGGTAATACCACCCTCCCTTGAGTGATGCTACAGAGACCCGCATCCACCCGTATCAGGAAGGCGATAGACTACAACACACCCTTATAGACAGGGAATACACTACAGTGTAGGGGTAGACTACAACCCATACTAAATATACAGGGAATACACTACAGCGTAGGGATAGACTACAACCCACCCTTATAGACAGGGAATACACTACAGTGTAGGGGTAGACTACAACCCACCCTTAATAGACAGGGAAAACACTACAGCGTAGGGATAGACTACAACCCACCCTTATAGACAGGGAAAACACTACAGCGTAGGGGTAGACTACAACCCACCCTTATAGACAGGGAATAGACCCATCGTAGGGGTAGACTACAACCCACCCTTATAGACAGGGAATACACTACAGTGTAGGGGTAGACTACAACCCACCCTTAATAGACAGGGAATACACTACAGTGACGGGGTAGACTACAACCCACCCTTATAGACAGGGAATACACTACAGTGTAGGGGTAGACTACAACCCACCCTTATAGACAGGGAATACACTACAGTGTAGGGGTAGACTACAACCCACCCTTAATAGACAGGGAATACACTACAGTGAAGGGGTAGACTACAACCCACCCTTAATAGACAGGGAATACACTACAGTGTAGGGGTAGACTACAACCCACCCTTATAGACAGGGAATACACTACAGTGTAGGGGTAGACTACAACCCACCCTTAATAGACAGGGAATACACTACAGTGTAGGGGTAGACTACAACCCGCCCTTAATAGACAGGGAATACACTACAGTGTAGGGGTTGACTGCAACCCGCCCTTAATAGACAGGGAATAAACTACAGTGAAGGGGTAGACTACAACCCACCCTTAATAGACAGGGAATACACTACAGTGTAGGGGTTGACTGCATCCCGCCCTTAATAGACAGGGAATACACTACAGCGTAGGGGTAGACTGCAACCCACCCTTAATAGACAGGGAATACACTACAGCGTAGGGGTAGACTACAACCCACCCTTAATAGACAGGGAATACACTACAGCGTAGGGGTAGACTGCAACCCGCCCTTAATAGACAGGGAATACACTACAGTGTAGGGGTAGACTACAACCCGCCCTTATAGACAGGGAATACACTACAGTGTAGGGGTAGACTACAACCCACCCTTAATAGACAGGGAATACACTACAGCGTAGGGGTAGACTACAACCCACCCTTAATAGACAGGGAATACACTACAGTGTAGGGGTAGACTGCAACCCACCCTTATAGACAGGGAATAAACCACAGTGTAAGGGTAGACTACAACCCACCCTTATAGACAGGGAATACACGACAGTGCATGGGAATAGACTTATAAGCGCGGGATAGATTATAACTCATACTTTACAAGCGGGTATATACTACAACCCGAATACTATCTGTTCGTCTTGTATCGTTTCATAAGACTATCTGTCCTTAACATTGGTCTGATGTTCCACCCCCTTGGAGAAATGTTAGCGTTACTTTAGCTTGGTTACCGTGCCTTGGTCGCCACACCCGACGTTGGCTAAACAGCCATTGATTTTATCTAAACTACAATGTATGTATACTCTCTCTTGTTTCTATCCGTCCTGGCTTTCTGCCTTCGGTCATTTATCCTCCAATATATTGATTCCCTTTTAGGAAGAAAAGTGACGACCCTGTGTTGTTCGAGCAACCAATCTTGAAAGACATCGCTGCCGCCAAAGGGAAAAGTCCTGCGCAGGTAATAGGCGATTATTTACAGTCCGCCGTCAAATAGCTGGAATATTGCTGAGTGCGGCGTTAAACAACAATAAACAAATTATAGGTAAGAATGTGTAATAAATTTCACATAGTTGCAGTTTCAGCGATTCTCAATGTTGATTTGACAACTCATAGCCATATATCACGTTTTAGTGCTTCATTGTAGGGAAAATACCATATGATGTCATTGATGTTTGATATGACTTTGTTTATGTTCAGTTTGTGACGTCATTAAAAATGGATGACGCTATACCTTATGGTTCTGACCAGTGAAGCAGTGTGACATCACATTACTTGAAATAGCCAATCAGCTTTCAGAACGGCTAAAATGCATATATGCAAATATGTGATAGTTATTGCATTTGCATTCCCCTAAAGCCCCCGTTACCCCTAAAGTCAAGTTTTTGATCGTGTAACATGCTGTCAAAAACTTTGACAAAATTGTTCACTTCCCGATATCAAGTCAATCTATTGTTTGAACGACGTCACAAGACAAACTGAGTTGGCGACTTTGTTCTATATTCAACTGAAATTGAAAGAACTGTTGTAAAAATTTGATTATGTCTATTTAACAATCACACAAACGTCTCTAAAGTAATATTGACTGGGTAATTTAGTTAAACAATAAATTGGTTCAAAGAAGACCACATGACCCCTACTTTGTTTGAAATGTAAATTTGTGTCGAAAAGGCAAATTTTCAAAGATAAGAGGTCTCAGATACCGATCAGCAGTTGTGTATCATGAGAAACATGTTTTTTGTCAATTTTAAAAGTTTCAAATATATTCTTTTTATAAAAATAAAAAGATGTAGATATTTTCTTTGAGTGCTGACTAAGTGTCAGAACAGTTCATTTGTTTTCATATAATATCGCTAAATTAAGATTTTTTCATTATAAAACCAACTGAAAGGTATAGTTTCTTTTGCCCATCAGTGTATGTATAATTTGACACGAGTAGACTGAAGACTTGTCGATCTTCACCCATAGACATGAGTTTACTAACAGCTCCTACAACGTTATAATCTAAGGCGCCGCAATTCACTGTGCAGAGTTGCGTCCCTTGGGTACACCAGAAACTTATGATAGTGGGTTCGAATCCTGGTTTGCCCCGATTATTATTCTAGGTTTGTCAGCACTATGCCTGTGCTCCTGGTAAACGCCTACATCATTTCACTCATATCGAAAACTATCGAAAAGCGGAGTAAAACCCAACTCTCTCACTCATGATAGTAAGCATTTTCTCCTGGCGCGTTTGTTATAAGTCATTGATACATTACTTCACAACACTTATCCTTCTGCTGTTAACAAGGTGAGGTGAGGTGAAATGGGGTTTAACGTCACGTCCAAGATTATTGCACTTATATAGCGACGTGCATGTACGTGTGTGTGTTTGTGTGGCTGCTTGTACTAGTCCGGACTGATGCCGATTTATAGTGCTAGCTCACTGAGATACCATGCCGCAGTTTAACATGAATACCCCACTCAGACACAGTATACTGACTCCGAGCTGACCAGTACTTGTTTTATCCCCTTAATGCCGGGCGCCAGACAGGGTAACAACAAGTACCATCTTTTAACGTCTTTTTTGTATGACGCGGTCGGTGATCGAACCTGCTGTAAACTAACACAGGCAATCATGTTATCACAATGTTTGTTTTTTGACGGTTTAGGTGTGCCTGAGGTTCCTCCTCCAGCGGGGCTTGGTCGTCATCCCAAAGAGCGTCACACCCTCAAGGCTGAAGGAAAACTTCCAGGTACGTCATACAGTAAAACTCGGCTACTCCGGACACTACTCGTCTGGAAACCCCGCATTGTGGACGAGTTTGCTTGTTGTTTAACGCCGCAAACAGCAATAATCCAGCTATATGACGGCGGCCTGTAGATAATCTAGTCTCGGACAGACAATCCAGTGATTAAAATCATGAGCATCGATCTACGCTATCTGGATTCGAAGACATGCATCAACCAGGTCAGCGAGCCTGACCACCCGATCCCGTTAGTCGCCTCTTTCGACAAGCATAGTCGCCCTTTACGGCAAGCATGGGTTGCTGAAGACCTATTCTATCCCGGATCTTCACGGGTCGAGTCTCGAAAGAACGAGATGCACGTGTCAAAAGCCTTTCAACCCCGGGTCGACCAGGTGTACCAGTGTTGACCAAGGTACAACTCAAGTTAACGTTTGTTGAGCAAGGTTAGCACGTGTTAATAGTTTACGTTATACTTCGATCAAGGCCGTAGTTAACTTTTTTTATACAGAGGGGGGGGGCAAATATTTGTGCAAGTATCACTTGTCCCCAACTTGTATTTTCATGATTCAAATAAAACTTCATGATTCAAATAAAACTGTTTTCTATTAAATTAAAAATCAAGGGGGGTGGCAACTTTAGAATCAACGGTGAAACTTTGATGATGATTTTGCATCTCTGTTTCATGTTCTTTGCGTTATGTTGTTCTTTGCGTTATCCTATTCTTTGCGTTAGCATTTTCTTTGCGTTGACTTGTTCTTGGCATTATCTTGTTCTTTGCGTTATCTTGTTCTTTGCTTTAGAGAGAGACCAGGATGTCAATTGGTGCCTTTTGCTATTTAGGGATTTTTCAAAATTTTATTTTTTTCCTTTTCCACGGCAGCAAGTTTTACAAGATTGTCGGGACAGATATTCACCAGTAACCATAGTAACAGAAGGGAAATGTTTTGTGTGAACATTTAAATCTATATTCTGTTAAGCTGCAATATATAAGATTTTATAGGTTTAATGTCAAAGGTGAGCTTCAGTAACTATCGATAAATACATTTGGTAATTCAACAGATTACAGCGTATTCCACGGGCCAAACTTGTGACATCCACTAACTCATATCTTTGCGAAAAATGGACCTGACATCCAAATTCAAAGTTCCGAAACCCAATTCTATGGTATTGTTTTGACAGATCAATAACTACTCTTGTATACAGACAGACAGACAGACAGATTAACAGATTAGATATCAATACTCTTATCAAGTTAGACAGATCACTCTTGGGACCCTTGCTGTAACAATCGATTTTTCTTTAGAATTTGTATGGCATGGGTGTGTGGGTGTGTGTGTGTGTGTGGGGGGGGGGGGGGGGGGGGGACCCTCTGATGACTCTTCTAATACAGTTTAATAAACAATATTGTTTCTAAGTTCAAGGTTTTATGAAAGTTGGACATGGTTTAAATAGTCAAACACTGATGTCTAATCGTTAGAATGTCCTCGAGTTGGAGATCAGGAACCCTAACTAACCATTTCAACGATATATAAGACCCGTGAAGATTCCGGGGTAGAATAGGTCTTCAGCAACCCATGCTTGCCGTAAAAGGCGACTATGCTTGTCGTAAAAGGCGACTAACGGGGTCGGTTGGTCAGGCTCGCTGACTTGGTTGATACATGTCATCGATCCCAAGTGCGTGGATCGATGCTCATGATGTCAATCACTGGATTGTCTGGTCCAGACTCGATTAATTTATAGACCGCCGTCATATAGCTGGAATAAGTTTAGATCAATGCTCATGTTGTCGAGTCCAGACTCATATATCTACACACCGTCGCAATATAGCTGTAATATTGACAACAAACAAACATATCACTCGTGACTGTTGCAAGTCTCGACGAAGCAAATTAAATGACATTGTTACGAATCCGGCGACAATAGACTAATTATATCGTTACATTTGTTCATTTCAGTTGTACGACTTTGAATTGTCTGAAGCCGAGATGAAACAAATGTTCAGTCTGAACAGAGATCACCGCGTGTATGGACAGGAAATGTGAGTACCCCACTTTAAATACAACGCTTGTACCCTGAAAGCCGTAAAAGGCGACTAATGGGATCGGATGGTCAGACTCGCTGACTTGGTTGATGCATGTCATCGATCCCAATTACGCAGATCGATGATCATGCTATTAATCACTGGCTGGTCTGGTCCAGACTCGATTATTTACAGACCGCCGTCATATAGCTGGAATATTGCCGAGTGCAAACAACAAACCAACCAACTAACCTACACGTGTAAAATACATCGCTGTTAACCACTTGACATCAAATAACAACTGAGGTCTAATTTCGATGTGACGCCAATTGCCTGTCACGTCGTACTTGACCTTGTTCACACTTCGAGTTACCATGCTGAAAGTAGGCCATAACATAGATTTGATTTCAACACAAATATTTCATTGAGAATAAGTTTTGTAACTCGTGAACTCGCAATGGTAAATCCGTTACATGTGTCACTAGTGGGATGTACAGCGTACGTGGATTGCACGAGCTGAAGGACCGCCTCCGTGGTCTAGTGGTAGAGCGTCCGCCCTGTCTGGCGCTCGGCATTAAGGGGCTAAAACAAGGACTGGTCGGCTCAGAGTCAGTATACTGTGTCTGAGTGGGGTATTCATGTTAAACTGCGGCATGGTATCTCAGTGAGCTAGCACTATAAATCGGCATTAGTCCGGACTAGTACAAACGCACACACACACACACACACACACACACACACACACACACACACACACACACACACACACGTGTGCATGCACGTCGCTACATAAGTGCAATAATCTTGGACGCGACGTTAAACCTCACCTCACCTCACCTCACCTCACCTCACCTCACCTCACCTCACCAAGAGCTGAACGTTTCTGTACACCCCTTGACCTTCGTCTCGTGGAACTTATATATTATGTTGGTGATCGGACTGAGATGCATTCACGCAGTCACTGTATCACAGCTTCATCTTCACACCTTATCATCAAACGACACATTAAGGAATCCCTTTGAAATTAATTTTTAATATATTGTCATGGTCACTGATTAACGTTGACATTTGATGTTTCAGAACACTCGACCATCCGGAGTATCCATTTTCAATTCCCTTCTGAAGCCACATGATACTTCATTATTGTCCTGGTCCAGACGGACACCGGTCATGACTAATATATACAATAAAACAAAACATCTACGGAAGATCACTTTGGTTGTTCATGCGTGGTATACCATCCCGTAGGGAATTCGGGTTACAGCTGATCCCCAGCCACCTATGCTTGTTGACTTGGTGGGGCGGTTGGGTAGCCTAGTGGTTAAAGAGTTCGCTCGTCACGCCGAAGACCCGGGTTTGTTTCCAAAATTGGGTACAATGTGTCAAGCCCATTTCTGGTGTTCCCCGCCGTGATATTGTTGGAATATTGCCAAAAGCAATGTGAAACAATACTCACTCACTCACAAAAAAAATAATACACGTTAAATTACTTGTTTTTGGTAAAGTATTACGTGCGTTTTAGTTCCTGAGACAATACTGTAAAAGAATAAAGTTCATTGTTTGGGGACGTTCGATCGTTTTCAGGTTTCTTAGTCAGTATAGTCACTGCTGAAAGTCTCCGAGAGTCTAACTTACATTGAAGATGTATCTGTATAACGAAGTCTAGAAACATTTCTTGTACAGAAGAAGCATAGAGTGCCATTATTACATAGCTAGGACCTTATATGGTCAGCGAGAGAACGCTGTTTTACGCCGCAGTAAGCAATGTTGCAGCTTTATAACATCGACCTGTGTGGCTGAAACATTGTGGATGAGACGTAAAACGAATGGTTGGTAGCATGTGCCATAATGTGAGCTATAAGGTTCAAATGAACATTATTAGCAAGAGCAGAGTGTGAAAACACCTCAAGCTCATTTCGCCAAACATGAGGCACTGGGGACCTAGTCTGTCCTGACATCACCACAGGGAGACAAACATGAGGTACTGGGGACCTAGTCTGTCCTGACATCACCACAGGGAGACAAACATGAGGTACTGGGGACCTAGTCTGTCCTGGCATCACCGCAGGGAGACAGACATGAGGTACTGGGGACCTAGTCTGTCCTGGCATCACCGCAGGGAGACAAACATGAGGTACTGGGGACCTATCTGTCCTGGCATCACTACAAGGAGGCAAACATGAGGTACTGGGGACCTAGTCTGTCCTGACATCACCGCAGGGAGACAAACATGAGGTACTGGGGACCTAGTCTGTCCTGGCATCACCGCAGGGAGACAAACATGAGGTACTGGGGACCTAGTCTGTCCTGGCATCACCACAGGGAGACAAACATGAGGTACTGGGGACCTAGTCTGTCCTGGCATCACCACAGGGAGACAAACATGAGGTACTGGGGACCTAGTCTGTCCTGACATCACCACGGGGAGACAAACATGAGGTACTGGGGACCTAGTCTGTCCTGACATCACCGCAGGGAGACAAACATGAGGTACTGGGGACCTAGTTTGTCCTGGCATCACCGCAGGGAGACAAACATGAGGTACTGGGGACCTAGTCTGTCCTGGCATCACCACAGGGAGACAAACATGAGGTACTGGGGACCTAGTCTGTCCTGGTATCACCACAGGGAGACAAACATGAGGCACTAAGGACCTAGTCTGTCCTGGCATCACCGCAGGGAGACAAACATGAGGTACTGGGGACCTAGTCTGTCCTGGCATCACCACAGGGAGACAAACATGAGGCACTAAGGACCTAGTCTGTCCTGGCATCACCGCAGGGAGACAAACATGAGGTACTGGGGACCTAGTCTGTCCTGGAATCACCACAGGGAGACAAACATGAGGTACTGGGGACCTAGTCTGTCCTGGCATCACCGCAGGGAGACAAACATGAGGTACTGGGGACCTAGTCTGTCCTGGCATCACCACAGGGAGACAAACATGAGGTACTGGGGACCTAGTCTGTCCTGGCATCACCACAGGGAGACAAACATGAGGTACTGGGGACCTAGTCTGTCCTGACATCACCACGGGGAGACAAACATGAGGTACTGGGGACCTAGTCTGTCCTGACATCACCGCAGGGAGACAAACATGAGGTACTGGGGACCTAGTTTGTCCTGGCATCACCGCAGGGAGACAAACATGAGGTACTGGGGACCTAGTCTGTCCTGGCATCACCACAGGGAGACAAACATGAGGTACTGGGGACCTAGTCTGTCCTGGTATCACCACAGGGAGACAAACATGAGGCACTAAGGACCTAGTCTGTCCTGGCATCACCGCAGGGAGACAAACATGAGGTACTGGGGACCTAGTCTGTCCTGGCATCACCACAGGGAGACAAACATGAGGCACTAAGGACCTAGTCTGTCCTGGCATCACCGCAGGGAGACAAACATGAGGTACTGGGGACCTAGTCTGTTCTGGAATCACCACAGGGAGACAAACATGAGGTACTGGGGACCTAGTCTGTCCTGGAATCTTAACAGGGAGACAAACATGAGGTACTGGGGACCTAGTCTGTCCTGGCATCACCACAGGGAGACAAACATGAGGTACTGGGGACCTAGTCTGTCCTGGCATCACCACAGGGAGACAAACATGAGGCACTAAGGACCTAGTCTGTCCTGGCATCACCGCAGGGAGACAAACATGAGGTACTGGGGACCTAGTCTGTCCTGGCATCACCACAGGGAGACAAACTTGAGGTACTGGGGACCTAGTCTGTCCTGGCATCACCACAGGGAGACAAAATGAGGCACTAAGGACCTAGTCTGTCCTGGCATCACCGCAGGGAGACAGACATGAGGTACTGGGGACCTAGTCTGTCCTGGAATCACCACAGGGAGACAAACATGAGGTACTGGGGACCTAGTCTGTCCTGGCATCACCGCAGGGAGACAAACATGAGGTACTGGGGACCTAGTCTGTCCTGGCATCACCGCAGGGAGATAAACATGAGGTACTGGGGACCTAGTCTGTCCTGGCATCAACATAGGGAGACAGACATGAGGTACTGGGGACCTAGTCTGTCCTGGCATCACCGCAGGGAGACAAACATGAGGTACTGGGGACCTAGTCTGTCCTGGCATCACCACAGGGAGACAAACATGAGGTACTGGGGACCTAGTCTGTCCTGGCATCACCACAGGGAGACACACATGAGGTACTGGAGACCTAGTCTGTCCTGGCATCACCACAGGGAGACAAACATGAGGTACTGGGGACCTAGTCTGTCCTGGCATCACCACAGGGAGACAAACATGAGGTACTGGGGACCTAATCTGTCCTGGCATCATCACAGGGAGACAAACATGAGGTACTGGGGACCTAGTCTGTCCTGGCATCACCACAGGGAGACAAACATGAGGTACTGGGGACCTAGTCTGTCCTAGTCTGATTTTCACTATTTATAGGGTAGGGGAACTGCAGCAACACGTAAAGCACGCTTTCCTTGTGGTATCTGGACAAATTTGGGTTCATGAAACTATGGAAGCCTAATTCAGTCATACATCATCATATTTCGTATTTCTGATTCCCACACGTGAAATCAAGAGACTATGAATATGGTGGCGCTTAACTTTTGTGCATGTGTATATGTTTCTTACGCTTCAAAAGAGATAAAACGGGAATTTTGGCTTTAAAAGCTTGAGTGGCAAGTGCTGTACATGCTGTTGACCAATTCAACCTTGTTGAAAACATTATCCCAAGATCCCAGAACTTATTATAGATAGTCCTGGTTTCAATAGTTATTATAGTCAGATAACGCCCTTGCCTAGGGAAGATGGCATCGTTGGTCCCAGAATAGTCCCGTAAATAAGCAAAAGCAACGATCGATAGAACCAATAAGAACGTCGGAACTTATAACGTCGGAACAGATAGTAGTAAGGTGGGTGTCCTTTAGCGTTCCATCCCTGCTCGAGATGAGTATGAGAGTCTGAATGAAGTCATCAAAGTCAATTGACCGGTCACATGGTCCTTTCCTAACGTGAAACTTATCTTCCTCCCTATACGGTGGCCATAGAAGCAAACCTGCTCTGCAACAATCCTCCTGATGAGTTGGGTTTTACGCCGTTTTTAGCAATATCCCAGCAATATTACGACGGGGGGCACCATAAATTGGTTTCACACAATGTGGGGAATCGAACCAGTGTCTTCGCCGAGAAGGGCAAAGTCTTTAACCACTAGACTACCCCACCGCCCTCCGCCTAGAACAGGCAGAGCGATTGCAACTGTCATCAGTAGTCCCAAGTATAGTTCCACGGCCATGGGACGCTCGTCGAGTTGTTTCACCAATATGGTGAGTACGTTGAAGAACACGAAGGACAGGGATGCGGTGGTGGCGGCGCTGCTGCTGGTGGTGGTGGCGCTTCTAGTAGCGTAGTTGGTACTCAACGTCTTATACAGCATTCGACCGAACGAGAGCGACCTCAAGATTCCTTCAGCTGACTCTGGACCGATATGTCCGTGTGACAGAAAAATAATTCAGTCCCCGCTGTATTCCGCGATTCCGCCGTCGCGGAATCTTTTGCAGAAATGCCCACTCAGTGCAGAAATGTACCTATGTTGAGCAAAATCCCTGTTTGTGCAGAAATCGTGCAGAATTGCATTTTTCTGCCGCAGAATTTGTTAAATACACTAGAGAGGTTTAACATGCTGGTCGAAAGCTGGTGTTAAACGTGTATATGTTGCATAGGTTTACTGAAACGGAGTCATTTAAATTGTGCATTGTATTCATTAAATCATTCCAAATAATTATTTGACGTGTTTGTCTTGAAAGAAAAATAGTAAAAACAACATTTTTTTTAATAAACCATATTTTAATAATTTCATGCTTTCAAAAACGTTTTGAATTGATGCTGATTTTTGTATTATGCCTGATTTAGCGTGATTGTGTCGTCTAACTAGATATATGTGGTTAATTTAGCGTGTTTGTGTCCTCTCGCTAGACATCTCTGCCTGATTTATAAATTAACAAGATCGTGACTTTTTACAAGACGTCTGTACCGGCTTTAGGGTGATGGTGTATTCTGAACGATTTTAGACGTGTCTGCATGCTTAAGCGTGATTTTTCCTAGACGTCTGAGCCCGTGTGATTGTGCCTTCTACACTCTGTAGATTTGTGACTGATTTAGCGTGATTGTGTCTTCTTTCTACACGTTTGTGCCTGATTTAGCATGATTATGTTTTCAAAAAGGTTAATTGAAGCATGTGGCTGCTTTATCGTAATCTTCCATCTTTTCCCGGCTTATTATGATTGTGTTTTCTGAAAATTCCAAGACGTGCATGCCCGAGTTAGTGTGTCTGTGCCCTCACAAGAGACATGTGTGCCTGATTTATATATTAGCAAGATCGTGTCTTCTGACTATACATGTGCTCCGGATTTAGCGCGATTGTGTCTTCTCAAAAGACGTGTTTGTCGAATTAGTGTGCATGTGACTTCTAACTAGACGTTGTAATTGTCTTCTTACTGGACGTCTTGTCCTGGTTGAACGTGATTGTGTTTTATAAACATTACGTGTATCCCCGATTAAGCGTGTTTACATCTTCTCACTAGACATATGTGCCAGATTTAGCATGATCGTGTCTTCTAACAAGAAGTATGTGCCCAGTGTAAATGTGTCTTCTTACAAGACGTATGTGCCCAGTGTAAATGTGTCTTCTAACAAGACGTATGTGCCCAGTGTGAATGTGTCTTCTTACAAGACGTATGTGCCCAGTGTGAATGTGTCTTCTAACAAGACGTATGTGCCCAGTGTGAATGTGTCTTCTAACAAGACGTATGTGCCCAGTGTGAATGTGTCTTCTTACAAGACGTATTTGCCCAGTGTGAATGTGTCTTCTAACAAGACGTATGTGCCCAGTGTGAATGTGTCTTCTTACAAGACGTATGTGCCCAGTGTGAATGTGTCTTCTAACAAGACGTATGTGCCCAGTGTGAATGTGTCTTCTAACAAGACGTATGTGCCCAGTGTGAATGTGTCTTCTTACAAGACGTATGTGCCCAGTGTGAATGTGTCTTCTTACAAGACGTATGTGCCCAGTGTGAATGTGTCTTCTTACAAGAGGTATGTGCCCAGTGTGAATGTGTCTTCTTACAAGACGTATGTGCCCAGTGTGAATGTGTCTTCTAACAGGACGTATGTGCCCAGTGTGAATGTGTCTTCTTACAAGACGTATGTGCCCAGTGTGAATGTGTCTTCTTACAAGACGTATGTGTCCAGTGTGAAAGTGCCTTCTTACAAGACGTATGTGCCCAGTGTGAATGTGTCTTCTTACAAGACGTATGTGCCCAGTGTGAATGTGTCTTCTAACAAGACGTATGTGCCCAGTGTGAATGTGTCTTCTTACAAGACGTATGTGCCCAGTGTGAATGTGTCTTCTAACAAGACGTATGTGCCCAGTGTGAATGTGTCTTCTTACAAGACGTATGTGTCCAGTGTGAAAGTGCCTTCTTACAAGACGTATGTGCCCAGTGTGAATGTGTCTTCTTACAAGACGTATGTGCCCAGTGTGAATGTGTCTTCTTACAAGACGTATGTGCCCAGTGTGAATGTGTCTTCTTACAAGACGTATGTGCCCAGTGTGAATGTGTCTTCTTACAAGACGTATGTGCCCAGTGTGAATGTGTCTTCTAACAAGAAGTATGTGCCCAGAGTGATTGTGTCTTCTAACAAGGCGTATGTGCCCAGTGTGAATGTGTCTTCTAACAAGACGTATGTGCCCAGTGTGAATGTGTCTTCTAACAAGACGTATGTGCCCAGTGTGAATGTGTCTTCTGACAAGACGTATGTGCCCAGTGTGAATGTGTCTTCTTACAAGACGTACGTGCCCAGTGTGAATGTGTCTTCTTACAAGACGTATGTGCCCAGTGTGAATGTGTCTTCTTACAAGACGTATGTGCCCAGTGTGAATGTGTCTTCTAACAAGAAGTATGTGCCCAGTGTGATTGTGTCTTCTAACAAGACGTATGTGCCCAGTGTGAATGTGTCTTCTAACAAGACGTATGTGCCCAGTGTGAATGTGTCTTCTAACAAGACGTATGTGCCCAGTGTGAATGTGTCTTCTTACAAGACGAATGTGCCCAGTGTGAATGTGTCTTCTAACAAGACGTATGTGCCCAGTGTGAATGTGTCTTCTTACAAGACGTATGTGTCCAGTGTGAAAGTGCCTTCCTACAAGACGTATGTGCCCAGTGTGAATGTGTCTTCTTACAAGACGTATGTGCCCAGTGTGAATGTGTCTTCTAACAAGACGTATGTGCCCAGTGTGAATGTGTCTTCTAACAAGACGTATGTGCCCAGTGTGAATGTGTCTTCTAACAAGACGTAACTGCCAGTGTGAATGTGTCTTCTAACAAGACGTATGTGCCCAGTGTGAATGTGTCTTCTAACAAGACGTAACTGCCAGTGTGAATGTGTCTTCTAACAAGACGTATGTGCCCAGTGTGAATGTGTCTTCTAACAAGACGTATGAGCCCAGTGTGAATGTGTCTTCTAACAAGACGTAACTGCCAGTGTGAATGTGTCTTCTAACAAGACGTATGTGCCCAGTGTGAATGTGTCTTCTAACAAGACGGATTTAGCTTCATTTTAAGTCGAAAAGTTAGTAGATGTATGTGCCTGATTTAGGCTGAGTGTGTTTTCATACCAGCTGTCTGTGCAGGATTTAATGTGATTGTCTGACTTAGTGTGATTGTGTGTCTGACTTAGTGTGATTGTGTCTTTTGAATACACCTTTCTTGGTGTAGTGTGATTGTGTCGTCTTGCTTGGCACCTGTGTCTGATTCAGTGTGATTGTCTGTTTTATTATGAAATGTTCTGGTGAGTTGTGCCTGATTTAGCGTGGAAGCGCCCCGTTAAAAGTATATGTTGCTGATTTAGCGTGATTGTGTCTTCTCAATAGACGTCTTTGCCTGATTTAGTGTGATTGTGTTTTCCGACTAGAGACCTGTGACTGGTGCAGTGTAATTGTGTTTGCCCGACGTACCTGTCTGATTTACCGTGATTTACCGTTTGCTATGGTATCGACGGTGATTTTAATCCAGACGTATGTGATCAAGATTATCATTTGACCAAGATGTTTTTGCTATGCCAAGACGGTACGTCTATGAATGATTTAGTGTGATTGGGATGTGATAGAAGTCACATATGCATGCACACTAATTACGTCTAACTGGCGTGAAAAGTTAGAATTTGTCTGTGCCTGATTTAGGGTGATTGTGTCTTCTTACTGGTCGTCTGTGCCTGATGTAGGGTGATTGTGTCTTCCTGCTTGCCGTATGTGCCTGCTTTAGCGTGATTGTGTCTTCTTGTCAGATGCCTGTGCCGGCTTACTAGGCGTTTGTGTCTGTCTATGGAATGTGTTATGGTCATTCCCCTTTTACAATATAAACAATGACTTCCATCTGGGATGATGAAATGTTTGCAGTGTAACTTCACATTGTACATATGCATACGTTTCTTACAGTAAGACTTGATTACCGTAGTTGTATATGTAACTGCATTTGTTGCATTACAAAAACGCATATCATGCTATCCTTACGAAACCAACTCACTGAAACCGAATTTTGAATGGCATGCGTTCCGATGCGTTGAAATTCGCATATGTTATAGCATGGGGTATTTCATTGCTTGAATGACATTAGCTTTACACGTATGGAAAGGTGCTCAAACATTAAATTATATGTATGAATATATAAGTTGTCTTGGTGTGTATGTGTCTATATATGATTTGCATGTGTGCGTTGTTGCATGATCCTGGAGAGTCTCCAGGGCTGTCTGCTTGGCAGTCACCTGCCATTAAACGTCATATTGTCAATCATTTCCTCCCGAGTTCCTGACACTTCGGCCTCCAGGGTGTCTTCGTGACAGTCACTTGCAACTGAATATCATCTTGGCAACCACTGCCTCCAGAGGCATTCTTGGCACTCTCCTGCCCCCTGGTACCTTCGTGACAGTCAATTGCCAATGAATATCATGTTGGCAATGGTTGCCTCCAGAGGTCTTTCTGACGCTCTTCAGCCTCCAGGCTGTCTTCGTGACAGTCATTTGCCACTGAATATCTTGTTGGCAAACATTGCCTCCACGGGTTTTCTTGGCACTCTTCACCTTCCAGGCCCCTCTTCGTGACAGTTATATGGCACCTCCCACAGGGTGTCTTCATGTCATTTGTCACTGGTAGACGTCCTGGGGGTCCATGATCCTGGAGAGCCTCCTGTTGATCTCTTGTTTCTCCGGTATGTCGTCTTGGCAGTAACTTGCAGTTACAGTGCAAGTGCCGTATCAACGCTCAACGATGTCATTGAATTCGTATTCTTTCGTGGGTTTTTTCTTGGTGTTGGCAGTAACACACCCAATTTGGCTGTCCAGGATGAAATGGGCTGGATGTCGCCTTTTCAAAGCAAAAAACTGACTTTTTAGGTGTAAGTTGTACCGAAAGGAACAGTCCCCAATACCCAGTACTATATGCAGAAGGTCTGCCATGATTTCAAAATCATGTATAGTATTGTTTTTAATATGTTGAATCCTCTTAAGTTACTGGTAGCAGATTTGTATAATATATCTGGAACAGAATGTTATGTTACGCAATGGATTAGATGTTTGGGTTGCCAGGGTTGCAATGAACTTTGGAATGACACCGAACGAAAATAACCTTCGTACCTGTAGACAGTTTAAGACCTTATTGCTGTCTAAACCATCTGTTACTAACATCTCACGGAGATCTTACCATAGTAGGCTTATGAGTAACAATGTGGTACCTTCAATAGAAGCTGGTAGATATACACGCCCCCAAGACACCTAAAGTGAATAAAGTCAGTAACTATGACCATGATGACGACAAAGTTCCTTTTTTATCATTTTTTTATCTTATTTGACTCACGATATAAAATGTGATTTATTGTCGCCCATTGATCAGGCCGCATTCGTATTGGGTAACGCTAAATTTGTAAAACTCTTAGCCGCATTTGTTACTAAAAGTATAAAAGATGGAAATACTCCCTGTAGCCTTTGTATAAAGTTTAGATACTAATATACTAAGTTATTCTTATCATTGTATAATAATGATATTAATACCATTCTTCTATTTAAGTGTGTTGTGTGGTCTTAGTGTGTCTCATAGGGATTTAGGCCATATGTTACATTTATCATAAATAAATACATTTGTAATGTACATTTGTAGGCGTCATTGCAAGCAATCGATAGCAACTGCAGTGATGGTGTAAATTCTGCCGGGGTACCATGCAGACAGCAGAAGTCGCTATTGTGGTGATCAACCTAAAGTTTCTGTAGAGACCTTAAAAAATAAATTATTTTATGGTCTCTTGTTTCTGGCGATATGTAACCCGTGTTGTTGTTTGTTTTTTTATAATAATGTACAGTCAAATAATAGTAATAACGATTTAATGCTCTAATAAAGTAGTTAAAATACAATGTCTATGGTAATCTAGTTATAATGCTGTCCATCGTCACGATATGGCCGAAATACTGCCGATGTGGCTTCTACTTTTAACCCCGACTAGAGTTACCTCCCTTGTGTCGTTCTTCATTTATCAAAGTCTGTTTATTTATAACATCCGGTGCTATGAAAGAGTGACAGCGTGACAAATATTTCGTCAATTAACAGTGGATCTGGGGCTCTATGAAAGTTACTTTTGTGACGGAAATAGTTTAAATCAAAAACTGTCAAAATGATGCAAGTAACAGATTTTCAAAGTGAGTTATTTCATTGAATTAAGCTTCTGTTGGATGCTTGTACTGACACGTCATTCCTCAGTCTTGCTGACGTCTGTTACCATGTTATGTTTTCATTAGGCGTATCGACAGCTTGGACGACAAGCATAATACAGAAATGGTGTTTTTATTCATTTAGTAACAGATAGTGAAGATAGTTGCACACTAACATTGGAATCTAGACTGAAATTGATACACCACCTAACAAATATGATACTGAACATGTTTAAATTATTTTTGGAATAGTGGAATTTAATTTGGACAACGAACTGATACTGTCCACATGTAGGACATTGTGTTGTGGAGAGCATTAAATATCGAAGCTAAATATTAAAAAATCTGTTCTATCGATGATAATCAATACATTGTTATTATTTCTACCAGACCCGTGAAGATACGGGGTAGAATAGGTCTTCAGCAACCCATGCTTGCCGTAAAAGGTGACTATGCTTGTCGTAAAAGGCGACTAACGGGATCGGGTGGTCAGGCTCGCTGACTTGGTTGATGCAGGTCCTTGATCCCAATTGCGTGGATCAATGCTTATGATATCAATCACTGGACTGTCTGGTCCAGACTCGATTATTTACAGACTGCCATCATATAGCTGGAATATTGCTGAGTGCGGCGTAAAACAACACACCAACCAACCAATTTCTACCACAAATTAAGTAAAAACATTATGGACCCTGTGAGTATTACATGTTTCTCTTAATTTAATAATTATGTCAGTTTGTGTCATTTTAAAATGTTGTGCTCATCACTTACAATTATGAAATTAATAAGTCAACAAATTATTGTCAGTGCACTAATGCTGATCTAGCCGAAAATGCATTACGCAAGTTGACCTACCTTTGAGATTAAATGACAGACAACTTAGAATAGCATGATACAGTATGAGGTATCTGCAGTTCTATTGAGTGATAGCATTTACTCTGTTGTGATCTAACTTCAGCTGGCAGGAAATTGAACATTATGCATATTCAACTGATTATATGGGTCAAAGATTACAGTTGTTGCTGCACCAGTTTGCACCATCATTTGATGTAAATAAAATTAAGCAGTGTCATGTATTCACCACATCTGCTGTAACCATGGTAACATTATACTTGCTGCATTATACTTGGATGATTAGCCATAAATAAGAACAGGTTTGCCAAAAACAAAGATCCCATAATAATAATAATAATAATAATAATAATAATAATAATGATAATGTTATGTATTCACCACATCTGCTGTAACCATGGTAACATTATACTTGCTGCATTATACTTGGATGATTAGCCTTAAATAAGAACAAGTTTGCCCAAAACAAAGATCCCAGTATAATAATTAATAATAATCATAAGTCATCTTCTATCACGCATTAATACACAATGCATGCTTAAAGTGAACAATGAAAAATGTTGATCTTGAAAAATGAGGTTGGCTAACTGTCATGGCTACTTAATCAACTTGTGTAAACAAACAGTGACTAGATTTGACACGTTACTAGGTTGAATATACTGCAGTCTAGTGCTGAATCACTTTGGTTATTGGCTTTGTTATTAGATTCATTTATTATATCCCATAGCAATGCTCATTCTGAGCACCAGGTAACCACAATATCTTTCAAGGATGCTTTGGTCTATATGGTGTCAAGGGATGTCAAGTATTTATGTAAGATTGACTACAATTTGTTTGTGTTCATGGAGGTATAAACATGATAAACATAATGGGCCTTAATGTTTTTCGGTTCATAAAAACAAAAGCAAAAATTCACTGGTGAGTTTTGTCAGCAATTGAAATAAAGTTCAGATATACTGTGTTTAAAACAGTTATGAGAGATTTATCCTTCTGAAAAAACAATGTGAAAATAGAAGCCAGTATTTCAACAGTACCGATATGAAAATTAAAACCATGCAGTATTTCACCTGTATGAAAATAAAAACCAGTATTTCAGTCGTGTGGATTAAAAACCAGTATTTTACTAGTGTGAAAATAAAAGCCAGTGTTTTCATGATCCTACTCTTGATGAAAGTACTAATGCTGTGTACTCTTTGTTTCAGAAATTGGAGTGGGCTTGGCTGGATTTGGCATCGCCTTCCTGTTTCTGGGTGTCATGTTCTTATTTGACAAAGGTCTGCTTGCAATTGGCAATGTAAGTACTGGGGTACTACGGTCTTGTCCGACTGGATTATATACATGCTCAATCATATACATGACATACAGATTATATACAGGCTCCATCATATACACGACATACAGATTATACACAGGCTCCATCATATACATGACATACAGATTATAAACAGGCTCCATCATATACATGACATACAGATTATATACAGGCTCCATCATATACATGACATACAGATTATAAACAGGTTCCATCATTACATGACATACAGATTATAAACAGGCTCCATCATATACACGACATACAGATTATACACAGGCTCCATCATATACACGACATACAGATTATATACCATGTATACAGGCTTCATCACATACATGGCATACAGATTATATACAGGCTCCATCATATACATGGCATACAGATTATATACAGGCTCCATCATATACATGGCATACAGATTATATACCATGTATACAGGCTCCATCACATACATGGCATACAGATTATATACAGGCTCCATCATATACATGGCATACAGATTATATACAGGCTCCATCATATACATGGCATACCAGGGATGTGAAATCTCCGCGGAAACGCGGAAAATCGCGTTTTTTAAAACTGTAGTCCTCGGAAAAAATCATCTTCCGCGTAAAAAATTTAATAAAATTTTTTAAAAAAAACACTCCGAAAAATATGATCGAAAACCGGACAACCGTCGCTGATCGTCCTGTTTTCGATCAGAGCTTTCACCAGCATAGGTTTTCGGCGATCATACGTTTTCTATCACGAATACTTGCACTATAACGTGGGGTGTGGCGTCACACAGATATTGTTAATACTCAGAGTCAGCTGATGGCTTGTGTTTAAGATAAAGTTGTCTTTTAGCCTGTAAGTGAATGAGATGTTTTACAGTTGTTCATGTGATTAGCGAGAAAACTATGAATGTTTCTTCAGCGTCCAAAACCCCATAACATAGGGGATATATATTGTATTAATGTCTTATGTTTGCAATGGATTTTTGTTTTTTTCATCAAAAGGTAAGTACAAGGTAAGTTTTTTTCAATAAGCTTCAACATGGGGAAAGGGTCAGACATTGCACGCTTGTGACCGTTGTCCTTGTCTGGGGGATGGGGGTTGAAGTTTATGGCAGTATTGCTCCCAGACCTGGCGGGTAGCCAGGTGCGCGAAAGCTATGCCCGATTTTTTGAAAGTACTGATTTAACTTCGAAATTTTACTGCATCTGCCATCTTGTTTATTTGACTTTTGCCCATGACTTAATACATTTCTTGGTGCGAATGTTGTCCAAACTGCACGAAATTGCTTAAAATGCAATCAGATGACCCCCCTAGACTTTTCCTCTTTTTTAGAGTAAACCTGCTCACATCCCTGCATACAGATTATATACAGGCTCCATCATATACATGGCATACAGATTATATATAGGCTCCATCATATACATGGCATACAGATTATATACAGGCTCCATCATATACATGGCATACAGATTATATACAGGCTCCATCATATACATGGCATACAGATTATATACAGGCTCCATCATATACATGGCATACACAATACAGCTGAAATACTGCTTATTCGGCAGTGCAGTAACTGCTTGCCCATCCCTCATCATGATGGCTTGAATTCCCACTAACTTTAGAAGCTGTGTGCTGAGTGTTGGGATGATGTTATTAGCTGAGTTTACAAGACCGAACTGAATGTTACTAGACACAGTCTTCGGGCTAGTGGCTAAAGTCGCAGACGGCATTCAAGTGATGAAATGTCAACATTGTCCATGACATTTTATCATCATGTGCTACAAGGAAGGGGTGGCATTGAAATTTTAGTATCAGTATTAGCATGATTAGTGACGGGTATTGCAATAATCACCGATGATGATTCATGTATTGCGATACATACCACAATATATTACATACATTCTTTCATCTGTAATTTAATATAAACCTGAATTTAAAAAATACTCCCTGCACATTTTTGACATTTTCATAATATGTTGGTTGTTGCTATGGTCACAATGCATTGGTAATAGACACATTAGATATACAGGAAACTGGTCACAAATAGTTTCACTTTTTCGTTCACAGGAAGCAGTTGTTAATTTCTTAATGTCCTAATTTCAATTCAAGTAACAACAATATAAAGATATGCATCATTTTTTAAAAACACAATATACCAATATTGAGATACATATTTGATGGTATTTCATATCTTGGTATACTGGTAGTACCGTACAGCTTTAACTGACATATAGACTCAGAGTATGATGATATATTGATAAATAATAAGTTTCTTTATTCAGTATGTGTATAGATAAATATAAACCTGCAATTTAATGCTAAATATGAACCAGGCAGATCCATAAAATGGTTGAAATTGAATTTTCTTTCTCCACTTTGTCTATTTTAACCATGGTAATCTTAATAATGAAAGTGGGCACGGGTGGCCCAGGCGCCACGATTCGCTGAACAGAGTTGCGTCCCTTGGGCGAGCCCGAAACCTATGATTGTGGGTTCGAATCCCGGTTCGCCCTGATTATGTTTCTAGGTTTGTCAGCACCATATCCGTGCTTGTGGGTTTCACCGAAGTGGTAAACGTCTGAGACCTGCATCACTTTGGACTTTCCTCCCACATTAAGCTGACACGCCGCGATATAACTGGAATACTGTTAAAAGCGGTGTTAAACACAACTCACTCACTAATAATGTAAACGGCTCTGTGGCAGTGACTTATTAGTTCAGTATCGATAGTCATTAATTTGTATAAGCACATTACCAACGTGATAAGATTGCCGATACATCGATATCGCGACATACAGTGAAGTCCCCACTACAATGTTTAAGACATTTCTTTCTGTTTGCAGATTTTATTCTTAGCTGGCCTGGCATTCGTCATCGGCTTGGAGAGAACAGCCCGATTTTTCTTCCAGAAGCATAAAGTGAAGGCAACAGGGTTCTTCCTCGGGGGCATCCTGGTGGTCCTCCTGGGGTGGCCGATGGTCGGCATGTGTGTGGAGATGTATGGTTTCTTCTTGTTATTCAGGTAATGAGATGTACTTAGCTGATGATAACCAGATTCATCATCAGTGTAAATGCTTGTACTTCACTTGTCGGCCCGTGAAGATCTGGGGTAGAATAGGTCAATATTGTCTCGCATTGTGGAAGATGCAACTCAAAATATTAAAAAAGTAATTAATTTCAAGTTAATTTTGACCTGTGAAGATCTGGGTTAGAATAGGTTTTCAGTAACCAATGCTTGCTGTAAAATGCGACTATGCTTGTCATAAGAGGCAATTAACGGGATTGGGTGGTCAGGCTTGCTGACTTGGTTGATGCATGTGATCGATCCCCATTGCGTGGATCGATGCTCATGATGTCAATCACTGGATTGCGGCGTTAAACAACAAACAAACAAACAAATCTGGTTAGAACAGATCCCCAGCAACCAATGCTGGTTGTTAGAGGTGTCCAAATTGATCGGAGATCAGGCTCGGTGCCTTGGTTGATTGCATGTCATTCCTAATTGCATGGACGGCAGTAGAAACTAACACTTTTAGTCCACCATTCCTTAGAATGAAAACATACGGTAATACCCTTAAAAGGGGCAAATTTCTACTCGTCCTTATGCTAACTATTGGGCAGTTTGGCAAGGACTATAGGACAAGTGCCAGTTTTTATCGCAGAGTGGATCATTACGTACAGTATCGATCACTGGATTGTCTGGTACAGACTTGATTACATACAGGCTGTTGTCATGATGAGTGTGGCATTAAACAGCAACAAAACAAACGGTATTAAGGTAGCCGAGTAGATAAAGTAGCTCACCCAAGACCTTGGATCAAATCCCCATTCTTGGTGTGCCAAGCCATGACTTTGCTCAATATTGTCTCGTCATTGTGGAAGATGCAACTCAAAATATTAAAATTAATTTCAAGTTAATTTTGACCCGTGAAGATCTGGGTTAGAATAGGTTTTCAGCAATCCATGCTTGCTGTAACAGGCGACTTTGCTTGTCATTAGAGGCGACTAACGGGATCAGGTGGTCAGACTAGCTGACTTGGTTGATGCATGTCATCGTATCCCAATTGCGTGTATCGATGCTCATGATGTCAATCACTAAATTGTCTGGTCAAGACGGGATTATTTACAGACCTCCGTCATATAGCTGGAATATTGCTGAGTGCAGCGTTTAACAACAAACAAACAAACAAACAAACAATCAAGTTGATCTTATGCTTCAAAAATAGAAGCTATAATGAAATTACAAACAGAACAAGCAAGAAAGGTTTAAAGATGCATATTTATCATGAAGCAAATGATTGTTCTAACAGATTTTTTTTTCACTGACTCCTGTGAAATACTGACAATGTTGTTGTCTGTTTCAGTGGATTCTTCCCTGTTGCTGTCAACTTTTTAAGACGTGTACCAGTTGTAGGAACAATATTGAATCTACCGGGAATTAGATCTGTAAGTTAAATCTTTGTGTCCTTGATATAGTATAAGGAGACAGACATTTTATTGTATGTATATTTACACCAAAAGAAACGTGAATGCCATTCATGTTGGTTAAGATATGAAGAATCACTCATATTCAAGAGAGGGGCGGTCGGGTAGCCTAGTGGTTAAAGCGTTCGCTCGTCACGCCGAAGACCCGGGTTCGATTCCAGACAAGGGTACAATGTGTGAAGCCCATTTCTGTGATATTGCTGGAATATTGCTATTGCTGGAATATTGCTAAAAGCGGCGTAAAACCATATTCACTCACTCACTCATATTCAAGAGATATTAGATTAGTTTGATGCACAAATGAACATACTGGTATGTCGTGTGAACCGATGCTCATGACTGCAGCATGTCATAGATACATGACTCGAGATGCAATATTTGTCTTGTGCAGAATTAGCGTGTAAAGTTTGGAAATCACATGCAGCATATCGTGAAAAGAATAAAGAGGCTCTGTGGTAACACTTGACTGATTGTTAGTTTTGTCATTAAGTCGTACACTTTGGAAACAACTCTTCCTAACGATGCTTGTCGGAAGAAGTACTAACGGGATCGGGTGATCAGGTCCGGTGACTTTGTTGATGCATGTCATCATATCTCAGTTGAGTGGATCGATGCTCATGATATCAATCACTGGATTGTCTGGTCCAGACTCAATTATTTACAGACCGCCGTCATTAAGCTGGAAAATTGCTGGGTGCGGCGTTAAGAGACAAACAAACAAACAAACAAAATCTTAACATACACACTTCTCTGTATGTTTCTTTTGGTAGTGAGTATATTTATGGATTTCCGGGTGTTATTGAGTACTAGATATATTGATTATTGTGGGGTTGACCTATACCCAAGCCATTCGAATGAGGTAGATATTTCAAGGGCCAAGTTAGTCGGACAGTAAATGCTATGTGTTGAATGATACATTTTCTCAAATATAAATTTTTTCGCAGCTATTGGTAACAGTCATGTATTGTCTTTAATTATTTCTTGTTCTCTTTCTTTTATGCTTATCTGCATATTGTGAGTAATCACTGGTAGAATAATTAATGCACTGATATTTAAATCTGTTAATGAAATATATTCTGAATTTACGTTTCGCTCTTATTTCAGTTTGCAGATAGAGTGGGAGAGTCTGGCTCTATGGTATAACTCCACCTGATGCTCATTGTAAAACACATTCATGTGTTACCATGTGTCCGACTGCGTTGTGTGAATGTTGACAGTGTAAACGAAAACAAAAGTGTAAAGTGGGAGTAACACTAGCTAGTTTATCCGAAGTGTAACCCCGGCTGGTGTATACGAAGTGTAACCCCGCCTGGTGTATACGAAGTATAACCCCGGCTGGTTTATACGAAGTGTAACCCTAGCTGGTGTATACGAAGTGTAACCCTGGCTGGTGTATACGAAGTGTAACCCCGGCTGGTGTATACAAAGTGTAACCCTGGTTAGTGTATACGAAGTGTAACCCCAGCTGGTGTATACAAAGTGTAACTCCAGTTAGTGTATACGAAGTGTAACCCCAGCCAGTGTATACGAAGTGTAACCCCAGCTGGTGTATACGAAGTGTAACCCCGGCTGGTGTATACGAAGTGTAACCCCGGCTGGTGTATACAAAGTGTAACCCCGGTTAGTGTATACGAAGTGTAACCCAAGCTGGTGTATACAAAGTGTAACACCAGCTGGTGTACACAAAGTGTAACCCCAGCTGGTGTATACGAAGTATAACCCCGGCTGGTTTATACGAAGTGTAACCCCAGCTGGTGTATACGAAGTGTGACCCCAGCTGGTGTATACGAAGTGTAGCCCCAGCTAGTGTATATGAAGTGTGACCCCGGCTGGTAACCCCAGCTGGTGTATACGAAGTGTAACCCCGGCTGGTGTATATGAAGTGTAACCCTGGCTGGTGTATACAAAGTGTAACCCCGGTTAGTGTGTACGAAGTGTGACCCCAGCTGGTGTATACGAAGTGTAACCCCAGCTGGTGTATACGAAGTGTAATCCCTGCTTATGTACACAAAGTAACCCCGGCTGGTGTATACAATATGTTAAGCCGGCCGGTGTGTACGAAGTGTAACCCCAGTCGGTGTAGGATTCTCCCATAATTCCACCCCATTGTTAATACCACCAGATTGATTGACACCTACCATATTTAACACATAAAAGGTGGACACTTCATTCCACTTTATTTTAATTTGGTTATTACGTTTCATTTTAATTGGGTTTTTCTCCTGAATACATCAATACTATATGAACTGATACAAACAACAGGAGGAATCTCAATGTGTTGTCATAACAAAGACCACTTGAAACTTTGTTTTGAAAACTATTGATGCTCCTGACAATGTCTCAGTTTTATGAAAGGTATTAATTACATGACCAAGCAGAAGATTGGTGCCAGATTGTGGAGCTTAGTCTCCAAGTTATGCATCAAAACGAGGAGAATGTTGTGTGCATGTGTATAGTCCATATCATTGATGAGGGGTCATGGACAGCCCAGTCGTCTAAAGTGTTGCAATAAGCTGTGCAGAGTTGCATCCCTTGGGCATGCCAGTGAACCTTTGATTATTGGTTCGAATCCCAGTTCGTCCCAATTATTATTCTAGGTTTGTCAGCACCATACCCGTGCTCGTGGGTTTCACCAAAGTGGTATACATCTGAGACCAGCAACACTTCGGGCTTTCCCCCCACATCAAGCTGACACGCCGTGATATAACTGGAATACTGTTACAAACGGTGTTAAACTCAACTCACTCACTCATTGATGCTGCAATGTGAAGGTGTCACCTGCTAAGGAAGACAGGTCAGGGGAGACAGATGGAGACTCGGCTATAAGCTGCATGAAGCCTGGCTGCATGTACCGTATTTCCTCAATTAAACGCTACAGGGTAACTGAAAACCTGAAACACTGGACAACTTTGACAACAGGTAGTTTTTTATGCTCGGAATTCTCCGAATTATCATCTGTGCGAGTTTCATAACACATCCCATATCGTACTTCAAGTACTATATGTGTACAACTCATTGTGTCCACTAAACAGTTTCAAGAATTTTGAACTATAGTACCGAAGGAGGATCTGAATATATTGTTAAGGGAAATTGAAATTATGAATGCTAGGCCTTGATAAAATACCCGGTTGAAAAGTGTCTCAAAGAAATATGCACCCGGGCGTTAAATCGAGGAAACATGGTATGCACATTGTGTCAGTCTGATGTTCAACATTAGATCTCCGGTTACTCTACAGATAGAGATAACCATCATAAAACTGCCGGTAAGAAACAACTGTAGCTAGAAGTTAACAGCAGGTGTTTCCACCCAGTGCCCTGTTGCAGGTACAGGCTGTCTTCATCTTCCCGAGGCAAGAGAGTTAACTAGACTATAAAAGTCCAGTTTCCACCCTTGCCGAACTAGGCTGGAATTCCTGGGCTCGATCGTAGCGCCACCAGTGGCTATTCATCTTCCCGAGGCAAGAGAGTTAACTGACTATAAAAGTCCAGTTTCCACCCTTGCCGAACTAGGCTGGAATTCCTGGGCTCGATCGTAGCGCCACCAGTGGCTATTCATCTTCCTGAGGCAAGAGAGTTAACTGACTATAAAAGTCCAGTTTCCACCCTTGCCAAACTAGGCTGGTATTATGGAGTTACATTTTGGTTGGACTAACGAGTCTATGCATAGTCCAATCAAAATCGCAAACCGAAACCGAAATCCGGTTCGTAAACTGTCATGCAGATTTCGGTCGACTGCAGGATTTGTAAAACATATGCACCTCTAACTCGTTGTCAACAGATATTTTCTAAATCTTTTCCTGTTTTTAATCAAGGTGCTCACGTGATTTGATGCACTTCCCGATGTAAGACTCGTTTTATCACAATATAGATCTTGATTATCAATCAGATCGTCTTGACTGGGCGCCACCGTTTTGTTTGAAGCAAATGCAAGTGATACAAGAGGTTGAATCTGATTGGTCAATAGGAGAGGCATAGAAAGGACATAACTCGTAATAGCCACTGGGGGCGCTACGATCGAGCCCAGGAATTCCAGTCAGTTAATTCCCTTGCCTCGGGAAGATGCGCTGTCTTGTGTACAGAGTAAATACACGTTTACCTCAAGCTTTACATGTCTTACCAAAAATGTCACGAAACTTTTGATTATTTCTTTGGTTCACTTATTCGTAGTTACAGATCTGGCTGCGATTGAAAATAATCTTGTTTTGTATTCCAGTTTGAATTGAAAGTTTTCTCAGATATTTCAAAAATTGTTTTTGAGATTCAAATGTTGAATATTTCAAGTTGTATGGAGGTTGTTCTTCAGTGCAGCATTCATCTGGGGTGTGAAAAATATTAACAAAATCTTTTGAAATACAATTTAATAAATTCTCAAAGTAGATCTAACAAGTTGGTTATGCTGCTTTGAGAAGAATGAAGACACTAATTGCTCCAAAGTTTCCAAAATAGGACTTGTTGGGTCTTTAATCTTTCCTCTGTGATGAAGGAATAGGCCCCCTTCATGCATGTGGTGAGTGTTTATGTACCATCTTGTACCATCAAGGTACATTGGTATCATGTCGTGTATCATCACAGCCCTGTATCATCCCTGGTGCTCAACACCCTGTGTACTGGCCACAGCACTAGGGAACTGTGAGATGCTCTGCCTCACCAGGGGCGGTCGGGTAGCCTAGTGGTTAAAGCGTCAGCTCGTCACGCCGAAGACCCGGGTTCGATTCCCGACATGAGTACAATGTGTGAAGCCCATTTCTGGTGTCCCCCGCCGTGATATTGCTGGAATATTGCTAAAAGCGGCGTAAAACCATACTCACTCACTCACTCACTGCCTCACCAATATTCACAAGCTGAATTTCTTATAACAGAATAATTAGCATCATGATCAGCTGCCAAATTGTCTAGCCAACCCATATGCCAATAATGAATGGTTTCATATTATGCTTAAGTTATATAATGTACTTTTCATAAAATATTTGCTACTCCAAATTATCAACTTTCCTGGTTATTTTTGAAGATATGGGTGAAATCTTGAGACACCAGGTGTTGTGACATTTAGGTGGCCCCGTAGTTAGTGTGTTTGCTCAGCTTGGACTAAACACAGGTTTGATTCCCACATGGGTCCTCACTACCAGTGTTCAACACAGCCCCTAGTCTACTAGTTGAAGATGGTGGAAAGTTTTAAGGATGATTCTCTCGCAATGAAAGACCACAAGAAGTTTGGATTATCATGTCCAGCTCGGAATATGTAAAGTTGATTTCAATCTCATTAAAATCAGACCTTAGTTCTCGCTACCGCTAAACAAAGATCTGAAGACATCCTATTAGGGGTCACGTCAGAACGACCTTTCATCCGACCAATCAGTGCGTCGCTTACCAGATTATGAAAGTGACAGTCGGAATGTGATTTCTAGTCATGCAACCTCGAAAACTTTAACATGGTGTATTCCGAAACGATAGTTACGGGTTTAACGACAGAATCCTTACAATCTAGACCATCTATTAGCCATTCCAGAATGTTTTTTGTTCAGGTTTCAAATTTGTAATCGAGAATTTGTCAAAATATGTTTCGAAGCGTAGTCGCCAATTTGAATTTTGTGCCGTAAAGCACGAGAAAGCAGCCTTCTGATTGGTCATTCCATTGGTCGGTCATAGTTCGCGCAAGGTCGGCCTGACGTGACCCGTAATGGGATGTCCTCAGATCTTTGTTCAGCGGTAGCGAGAACTAAGGTCTGATTTTAACGAGATTGAGTCGATTTTTGGTTAATGGGTAGTCAGTGAAAGTCCAGATGTTGCCTGACCAGGATGTGGTACACAGGAGTTTGAACACAATAACATGTATCTGTGTGTTTAGTAGAGCAGGTAATTTATCATGAATGTGTGGGTACACAACATAAGAGTGTTCCTTCTTACCAGTGTGCTGTCTGGCCCTGTATGAATGTCGTGTAAGATATTAACCATGTATAAATGTGAAGTGTTACTATTTTGTCATTATCTTCCTGTAAATATCATCTACGTTATCATCTGAAGCAAACATATGCAATCTGGTTGATCAGTGATACCCTGCAGCAGCATCACGGTCGTCTGTAAGTCGCTGACTCGTCACAACTCTCAAACATACCACTCAAAAGAAGATAAGAAAACCT